CTGCCTTCTCCTTGTTTTGTTTTGCATGTTTATGGTAAGTTTAGGTTTATATGAATAATAATTATGATGATGCGATCCTTTTGCTAAGAATAGAACTGCACTTCTAGGATCACGCGTAGATAACATAATGAAGGTTTTACTCACATCAAGATCCACCACGATTTTGGAACTGATAGTCTAAACTAAACACCACTCGGTCTCCATCTTCATCACAATATGATTCAGCAATTAACCACTGAGAATGCTGTAAAACTACTAACTAACTAAGCAATTATGCAATGCATCATCGGTTGAAATCTATAGAATCATTGTTCTTATCACTAAAATGATTCAAATAATATTTTATTAATCAATGAATTTTTTCGTTTCGTTTCAAACATTTTTTTTCATATTTTGTTATTATCCTTCTCTTTCATTCATACTTCATTTAAGAACAATTCATAGTTTTCATTTATAATTTAAAAGGCAATTTAAAAGGTAGAGAATTATCCAAATGGGAAATTTAAATTCTAAATATAAGAAAATATAATAATGAAGAATGTGAACTGAATTTTAAGACTTCAAATTGAATTCAGTGTCATTCATATATGCAATTATTTCAAATGAAAATGACTAAATAATGATTTAACAAGAATTTTTTTCAAAGAATTGTTGTTCAAAAATTGTAATTTAGATGAATTTGAAAATTTTAATAAAAATTTATAATTTATAATTTATAAATTTATTTATTTATTTTTATATTTCAGCTGAATCCTTTTTTTTGAAAAAAAAAAGAATAGTGAAGGAAAAAGAAAGTTGAAAGGAGGAAAGATGCAGTTGAGGAGTAGCTAACATGCAAAATAATTATAAATCACTAAATGCATTTGCAGAGGTGATAAATATGTAATGAAATAAATATGAATTGTCTGAAAATCTTTGCAACAAATAAGCGTTATCATTTTTACTGGCATTTAGCATTTTATTTATTATCGCGTAATATATAGCCGAGGGCAATATGTTTGGCCAAAGAAAAAGGCCTATGCCTATCCTACATTAATTTATTTGACCTCGACGAATTATTTTTATTGATTTTTGGCTTAACCTCCTCACCACAAGTGCTTTTGTTCGTCGCATTATGGACTATATTTTAATGAATAAATATTAATAAATATTTCGACAATTATAATAATTTGTTTATTCAGTACTTTTTTTTTCAAAAATTTAGTTATATTTGTTAAAAAATTTGTTATTTTCTGCTTCTGATTTTTAATTTAATGCGATCGGAACAATGAGAAAAAAGAGCAAAATGCATCTACTGCATTTTTAATTTCCGACCAAATTTTTTTATTTTTGAGTTTTTTCCAACATTTTGGTTAATAATTAGAATTGAATTAAATTGTAAAATAATAATAAAATTGCCATTATTATCAAATATTGAATACAAATAAGAAATTTTATGAAGATAAAATCATTTAAAATTAGAACTGGCAATGTTTTATTATAATTATTGGATTGTAATTTAGATCAGAATTTGGTGACGAAAAAAAAATTGCCTGCTATACTGCCTTAGAAATTCTCGATAAGATCAAAGTTAGGTTTGTTTTTTGAAAAGAAAATTTTAATAACCATGGTTAAATTATTAAAAACTCCAAGTTATTTAAAAAAGAATCCAATAAAAAAATTTTTAAACTCATTATTGAACTAAAATTAAGATGTAATGGAAGCATATTTAAATTATGAATAATAAAAGTACCATTACCGTGAATTTCACCTCATAATTTTTAGTAAAAATGGCGAATGGATAAGTTTTTATGAATCATCTCTTTATAATTGTTTCAGTAAGCTTAATTTTTTTGCCAGAGATGAAGAAAGGGACAATGTTTGGTATCGTTTGAAGGTTTTTTTCTTATTATCAATAATTATTAAAATTACTTTAAATAGACTAAAAATTTCATTAAAAATAATATCAATATTAAAAATAAAATAATATTAATAATAATATTAAAAATAATATAGATTCTATTGCCATATTATTAGGAGTGGTATGGTCAAGCTTTTTCGACTTAGATCATACATAATGGGTTCCATAGTAATATTTTAAATATAGATGTTGACAGCCTGTACTTTTGTTCTTTCTGTCTCAAGGAGCTTTATTCTTAATGGACAGCGGAAGAAATGCTGAGTAGTTAGTTGTGGTGACTATTGAATTAATGCATAACGTATATGGCTCAATTTTTATTGGCACTGGTCGATCACCTATTTATGAATGCCTTGAAGAAAACTTTTGCAGTATTTCGTAATATAATATTATTTTCAGTCTTTAGTGATTGAATTCGAAAATTTTAATATATTTTTTGGAGCTTTTAATTTATCATTATTTAGGAAATTTATATGGAATTATTTATCGCAAGTCGAAGAATATGGAAAGAAAAAAATAAGCCAGAGCGGCTCGCACTTTATGAATCTTTTTCTAAATTGATAAAGTTTTACTTGGATGTCGCGGATTCAGATTCACTTAAAATTTGCAGTGATGCTGCTAGAGAAGCGAAATTTTTAGGAAGAGGTACATAATTTTTGCAAGATAAAAGTGTTGGCTATGGCTCTTATAACTCAAGAGAAAAATTCTCGAGTACTGCTTGACAGTACAAATAATTTTAATACCAATAATAACGGCATTAGAAAAAGATAACAACAACAGACAATAACAAGGACTATGGCGACAATGATAATAAATAATTGAAATTATAATTAATAATGATAATATTAAACTCGCCCAATAATTTGCCAGTTTATATGTTTAAAATTTTTTTAAATTTTAGAAAATATCAAAACATATAAATTTTTTGTATTTGCATTTATTTAAAAGTTAAAATAACTTACAACTTTATTGTCTGTTATCTGACACCTTTCCTTCTCTAAAATTTTCCTACCATATCGTAAATTTTTTATTTAAGGATCGCTAGATGATGAAGAATTTCGTGATGCCAATGCGCATATTAATGAAATCAAAAAGAATATCAGTGAAGCTGAACGTGGAAAGTCGGATTTAACTGAAACATAACAATACATCATTTTTATAGTAGATTTTCGAGTAATATTCTGTAATTATACAAATTATTATAAAATTTAAATTCTTTCTAAGCCATTTATTTGAATCCATTTATTTATTTCTTTTAAATTTACACTTCAGGAAAGATTTTTATTTATTTTTATTTTTACGAAATATTACAATAAATAAATTTATCTCAAATATTCTGCTTAATATTTTATTCATAGTTCGTGTAATGAAATTTACAGAATTTATATTTCCTGTAGTATTTTGTTGCCATAAAACAAACAAAAAAATTATATAACAAGTTATAAACATCGACCCTGCAATCATTTAAACAATCTTCAGCGCAGATGAGATAATAGAGATTGTTGGTGGCATAGATATTTTATTTGTGAAATCGATCGTGAATTAATATTCTACTAGCATTTTTGAAATCCAATATATTTCTTCAGTATCCAAATTATATTTGTAAATAACATGGTATTTAAAAAAATATTTTTTTATTAATTACACATTTTTCGACTGACCTATTAAACAATATTTCCACTCGTAAACTGAAATGAGACAAAGAAATCGAATTGCTTTCGAACTTCGATAATCTTTCTTAAAAATGTACAAAAAAATTTTAAAAAAATTCCTTTCTCACCTCCTGTGAGTGGTAAGTATTATCCTCGGGTCCTCCACCAGATATTTGGGATAATGCGAGTTCTGTGCAGTATTTTAGTTGTTTCTAGCAATGGGTTCTTCTTAATAGAGATGAGGTTATTCCTGGACTCTGCTGAAACCACTTCTAGGGATCACAGGGTCAAGTGCCCTAATTATCACCGGAATTCCTTGGGCCTTCCATATTTTTTCCTCTTTCAGCCTCTAATATCTCTCTAACCTTTCATATTCCTTCTTCCTAACGTTCCTATCACTTGGTATTCATATATATATGTATATATATATACTTGGGAAGGTAAGCCATATACCTAGCAGATTTTCCTGATGCCAGCTACATGGTTATGCCTTTCAGTGTATGTTATTCCTGCTTGCCACTATTTTGTATCCTGCCACTATGTGTTGTACTGTTTCTGGGGTCTGTTCCGCGTTTTCTGTAGTCTGCATCTACAGTCCTATCTACAGATCCCTGTTTCAATGAATGTGATACTTAGAACTTGCTGCTACTATGAATGCCTCAATGCCTCAATCTTGCTCTTAGTCCAGCTTTTACCAACAATTCACAGGATTTATATATTTAATTCTTATGGTAGTTGGTGAAGAAATGGATGGTGATAATATATTATTACCACAAATAATTGAAATCGATTCATATTGATAAGAAACAGGGTTAGAAATTAATGTTAAAGATTAGACATTCAAAAATCCTAATCATTTTTATAATTTGTTATCAATAAATTGTCCTTTTAGCAAACTTTGCTTTCAAAATAAAACCGCTCCTTTCTTATATTCTATTTAAATATTTTTGGTCCTTTTACCAATCTGTGCTCCTTACTATTTTTTTTATTTTTAATTTGGAGAAATATTAAGTTTAATTAAGTAAATTTTAATTAAATAATTTTTACTTTCATGTTTTTCGGTCGATTTGGAAAATTCGAAGGTGATTAAAGATGATGTGAATAATTAAAGATGATGCCTTTTTGCATTCTCCACTAATTATTTTTATTTATTTTTGGCAATTTTTGTGCATTTTTTGACTAAATTGAAAAAAAACGATGGATACAACTTAAAACTTAAAAAACTTTTTTTCAAGGCTTTGGAAATTCACTGCAATTTTCCTCGAAGAATGAAATATATCCGATACTATATAAATAACGATAGCACGGATGATCGTAAAAAACTCCGCAAATTGAGTGAATTTCTCTCTAATCGATTGGGGAAACGAATTACTGTTGACTCGGAAACTTGCTACCATCTAATATTTGACGAGGATATCGATGTTGATCATTTTGAACACCGAAATTTTAACAAATTGAAATGGTTGCTTGGGAAAAATCCGGTCAAATCAACATTATCTAAAAATTCGATCTTCGAAAAAGCTGAAAAAGAAAATTTGATTGAAATTGGAACAAAGTAATCGTTTTGTTGGTGAAATAAGTTTATGACTATTTTAAGTGAACTTCAAATATTGAAAGCAACATGGATTATGAATATAATTTCGAATTCTCAGTTTTTAGATAATTGCAAAAAATTATAAGATATTACTATACCAGCTATTATATGTTATAAATTGCATAATAAATTTCTGAATAAAATAATTAACGAATAATAGGAAATTGTTCCCTAAAAAAATAGGATGTTTTTTCAAATTGTTTTAGGCATAATAAAATGAAGAAAGAATGGTACTAGTAAATAATTTCTTATAATTTCTTCAATTTTCAATACTCTCCATATCTTTTCGGCTGTCTGAAAAAGGTCCCTTTGCCAGAGTGTCAGTTGGAAAGAGAAGAGAAGAGAGGAGAGAAGAGAAGTATTATGTCCACGGTACCAGCTACTATATAAGAAAACCAATTTAACAATTTATCAAGAGTTATGATGGCTTTCGCAATTTAGGCCGATGTTTGTAACATCATTCAGTACGAATGCTGTATTAGTTTTGCGAGCAGCTGGTATAAAACATATTAAACGATTAGAACATTCGATACGTTATCAAATGCAAAATATTTCATGGTCAAATCGCGAAGATATAATACCGATGATTTGTGACCGAATGACTCAGTGTGAATATCCTAAAGAAGTATGCTTTGAAGGAACTAATGCGCGTGAAAAGTATTTCGAAATCGATCTGATCGGTTCAATCGACAATCTGATAGCTGCAAATCAAAAACTGAGTTAATATTTTTGATAATTGTTATAATTAATTATCAATTATTAATAATTGATAATTATTATTGACAATTAGGGACAATTAATTTAAGCAGTTCTGTTTAGCATCATTTTATCTATTACTTTATATATTTTGGCATTCTCAAAAGAAAATTTTTGGCCTTACTTTGAGCCTTTCTTTCTTTCTTTTTGTCATAAGGTCTCCTTCTTTTTCTAAAAACTCTCACCATTACTTTATTAACCTTGCTCCAACTGCTACAGGATAAGACATTTCCAAGCGGCGTGGTCTGATACCATCGTCGGCAGTAAATTCATTCCTTTTTCCATCGTCTAAGTTCATATATTGCTGGTCCACCTATATGTTCAAAATCTTTTCTGACCGTATCAGTCAAGGTCTTAATTGGTCCATCTCGCTTTTGACGCCATCCATCACACGATTTAGCTAATAATGAAATTTGCGTCAACTCCTGTGATGGACGATGGAGAACATACCTTAACGAGCATAGGCGATGCTCTGTGATAACATTATTTATGCAAGTGGTATTTGAACAAAGATGTATGCGATCATATGATATCTTATCCGCTCGACGGATCCGTAATATCCGTAATCCGTACCTTAGACAAGAGTGGTCAAAGGCATATAACTTCTTAATGTCCTCCACTCTCATTGGCCATATCTCAGAACCATATAGCAAGATCGAATGGATCACGGCTATATAGATGCGGATTTTCGTTTTTATGGTGATTTCACGACGACTCCATAAAGGTTTCGTCAATCAAGAATGCATTTCTGGCTGTCTATCCGGGTTGTAATATAGTCTTTTGCTTGGCCATTTTGTAATAAAGTGGATTCAAGGTTTTTAAAATCGGTTACTTCGTCAACCGGCCATGAATTTACAAAAAGAGGCATTTTATCAGCTTTTTGCACATAAGACGAAAAGGCTTTCTTTTTATTTACACTTACCCTGAGTCCGATTCTCGCTGACACGTTATTTAGCATTATTTTCATTACTATCAGTGAAAAGGACTACATCATCAGCATATTCAAGATCTATGATATGATGCTCTGGACTGATTTGGAGACCTCTTGAGTGCCTATAAGCGGTATCCATTATCCCATAGTTGAATATTGTAGAGGAAAGGACATAACCTTGACAAACACCAGTTTTTGTTTAGAAGAATCAAGAGAATCTCTTTATTCCCTATATATATATAAACATCCGCCGACATACGATCATCGAATGCCTTTATGAGTCGAATAATCTTCTCTCGAACATCGAGCTATCATCCTCCAAAGCGCCACCCTATCAATGTCGATGAAATACGTGATAGTAGGTTGCAAATATCTGAAATGTTCCAACATCCTTCTTAACGTGAATGTCTGGTCAGCACAGTCGCACTCCGGTCTGAATCCAGCTTGATTAAGGTGCAAGGTCCCGTACTTCCATAAGTCTGTTGAATAGCAGGGAAGCAGTAATTTTCGCTAAGACGCCTATTAGGCGTCTAGTAGACTGATTCCTCGGTAATTGTCGCAGTATATCCTATCATCTTTCTTGAGAATTGGGAGCAGAATTGCTTTACTCAAATCAGCTAGTAATATTTCTTTTTCCCACACTAGAGAGTACATTTATTATGAAGGACGATGGACAACATTTGAAGAGTTCAGCACGAAGACCATCTTTTCCCAAAGTCTTATTGGCCTTAAACTTATGGATAATGGAGATTAATTCTTTTTTTATTGGAGCATTCAATTGCAAGCGTATGATGGTTCGACGAACGTATCAAAGGGAATAGATGGCGCTTCATGGTTAAATTTGGCCTCAAAGAATTCTTTTCATCTTATAAGGCGGTTCTTAATACTTTTGAGTGGTACGCCATTGCTGTCTCTTGCCATTTCACTGATCGTACCCTGAGTCATAGTTGCTTTATGAAGAAGGCTGAATAGTTTCCTGTTATCGCCTAATCTTCTCCATACTCAAGGCCATGTTACTCCAATAGTGATTTCTTTCCCGTAGTGCTGGTTTCATTACAAATCTTCGAAGCATCCGGCAATCAGAATCTTGACATTCGTGCTTTAGCAGCTTTTTCAGACAATTGTTGGACAATTGTTTCCGATAACCAATCAATGCACTTCCTACTAGCATGCCCTAACGTGGAAGTGGCTGATACATTCTTTTAGTTTGGACCAGTATTCATTGCCCTTCCAGAAAAATCATTGATATTTATGCCATTGAAATGCTTCAATAATTCGGTTTGAAATGCGCTCACTGTCCCGAATTTTTTATTTGAAGAATGTTGGTGGCTGTTGTTTTGCTGTTTTCTGCGAGTTGTCAGTTTTTGGTTTTTCTTTTTTTTGCGAATTTTTGCTCGAACCATAACATGGTCAGATCCATGAAGATTGCCCATTTCAGCGCCGCGATACAAACGGCTATCTACTGTGAAACTCTTCCAACGGCGACTGACTAAGATAATCAATCTGCTTGAAGTATTGGTTATCCGAGGGGTTCTATATAACTGGACTAGATATTTTCTATGATGCCGGCAGCAAATATTTGTAACAAAAAGTTCATGCTCTTCAGCACAATAAAGAAGGCGTTTCCGATCGGCACACCGGTCTCCAATGCTATATTTACTAATTGACGAAGTCATCTCCACCGATTATTACCATGTCTCTTGTTTCTTTAGAGACTTTATTAGCAGTTAAAGAGGAAGTTCCGGTTGACGAAATTTCACATATAATTTATCTTTATTTATCTTTTATAATTTATCTTTATCACGGTCATCTGCCGAGAGAGTTGGAACATAGACACCTGATGATCGAGATATTGCAGAATTTACCTTTAAAAGCTGATACGGCTAACACCTCGCTGCGCATGCACAAAACTGTTCCCTTTGATAGGTTTCAACCAATTACACTGGCTTGCCAGCATATTTTATTTATCAGCCTTGGGATCGCTTTACATTATATACTTATCGCATGTACCACCGGGCTGAGAGTATCATGCGCGTCGGATGCCATATCGAGAATATCTGACCCTTTCACCCTAGAATGACTTGGGGAGTCGCAGGTGGGTCCACAACAACCACTCGGATTTTCGATGACAGGTTTACTTCCGTCGAAGAAAACATAATTATTTTATGATATTGTTTATTTTATAATACTGCTGCAAATTTTATATTTATTTATATGTATTTTATATTTTATAATTATATATATTTTATTTCAATTCGTTTTTTTAATTAATTTTTTAACTAAATTTTTTAATTTTTCATTTATTTTTTAATTAATTTTTAATTTTTTTAATTAAGAGAAAAAATTTAATTGGTTTGAGAAATCTTTTGAAGTTTCGAAGAAATAATAATAATAATTAACAATAATCGATTGACATGGAGTAGAATAGATAATTGACAGGGCCGCTTATAATCCAAATATATCTTATTTCTCAGAAAACTACCAAGTCAATAGCTTCAAGTCAATAACTGCTTAACAGTTGATATTTCTGGCCAGATTTTGATCCACTAGCTAAATACTTACAAATCTTATAATCATAATTTTAAATTATGCATTAACATAGATTTTGAAAAAGATAAAAGAGAATATATTTTTACTGCACATTAACAAATACCTTTGGAGGACTTGCATTCGATGATGAAGACATTGATTACTACTACCAGTTATTCAAAAGCCAAATAGGTCGAAATCCAACGGACGTTGAACTCTATGATTTGGCACAATCCAATAGTGAACATAGTCGGCATACATTTTTCAAGTAATTCTAAATTCGAAAAACCATTTGAATTTTTGGTTTTTTCGAAAGTATTAAATTCATCAAGCAAATTGAAGGGTGGTTTGTTTCAATATATTGTTTCCATTTGTAATTTAAGGGGACGATTGAAAATTGATGGAAAGTTTCGATCCGAAACACTATTCGATTCAATCAAAAAAACTCAAAATTATTCCAACAACAATAATATTATTGCTTTTACTGATAATAGCAGGTAGCTTTCCACAAATATGGAAAACATTACAAAAGCATTTTCAAAAAAATAGTTCGTTACATCGTTCCACAATAAGATTCAAATACCCCAACTGAAACAAATATATTGCAAATGGCATTGTTCCACGATAAGAGACATATTATGAATATTATGGATAGATTATTATGAATATGAATATATGAAATAAGAATAAGAAGTGACTAAATATAAAAGTATATAATATTAATTAAATTTATGAATACGATTAATTATAAAAAAAAACAATTTGTAGCCGATTTTCAGAAGAAGCTATCAGGGAAACTCTCGATTTTAAAAAATACTTCTAAATTTCAGTGGGATTGAAGGTTTTGAAGTCAGTAATCTGGTACCACTAAATTGTTTGACTGTTTCGAAGTTAGATATAGTGCGATCAAAACGGCATATAATTTACACATCAGAAACACATAATTTCCCAACAGGTAAATTTTCGGGAATCATTTGATTAAATTAATTCGAAAGAACTGCAATAAGTTCAAATAAGAAAAATAAAATCAGCTTTATGATTTACTAAGTGCCTATCCCATCGTTTCGAGGAATGTAAATTTCCATGCGAATTATAAGTTGGTCACGAAAATAAAAAGAAGTAAATTTTAAAATAATTTTTCCTTTCCTTTCAATTTTTTTTCCCATTTAATTCCAAACAGCTGTTTCTCCATTTCCTGGTGCTGCAACTGGAGTTGGAGGACGAATTCGAGATGTACATGCAACAGGGAGAGGTAAAGATTTTCCTGCTTTTTTTCTTGGCTAGATATTGTTCAAATGAAAATGCAGTGGGCAACTCCTGGGCAACTTGTAATTTGATTAAAATTTTAAATTTTATTTTTTAAATAGTTAAAGGAAATGAAAAACTGGAGGTTTCTTGGAAAATGATGGGAAGATTTTTCGAATTTATGCGAGAATGTTCTAAAAATATCTAATAAATGAAGCATTAAGGCTTATTAAATTCTAAATCATTAAATCACTATTAAATCCTATGAATGCATTAATTTACTTTAAATTGAAACTCCAGGTGCTCATACAATAGCTGGCGTTGCTGGTTATTCATTTGGTAATTTAAATTTGCACGGCTATACACTGCCGTGGGAAGATGGTGAAAAAGTTCACATTTTTGCCAAGCCGAGTGAGGTAATATTGCTTTTCATTTCTGAAACAAAGTTTTTTCTTCATTGAAAAATTCGCTTGTTCAATAGGAAAAATTTCTAAATTTATTTTAACTTAAAATATTTAAATTTTTTTGACAAATACAATAAATAAATGTTTGTGCAATTGAAATTTCGAATAGTTGACTAAGTCTAATACCGTGCAAAATAAAAACCAGATGATTTCGAAATATTTTAATTCACAGAAATTAGATAACAGATGGAACTTGGCGAGCAGTCAAATAAGCAGGATTTGAGGGATTTGGCTGGTATTTTATAAAGGAAATGGATATAAGACATTTTAATAGAGTGCAAAATAATAATTACTCGCATTGTATAAAGGCATCTGATTAATCAACGCTTCGCTACCTTAAAGTTCTAGCAAATTAATAAAATAATAGATTGAGCAGGGCAGTAATTAATTCAATCGCATTTCAAGAAAAGCCATAAAATTTCTTGAAAATCGGGCAAAAATATCTTACTATATGCAAATTACGTAAATTGATTTCAAATCTTTTATAGATTATTATACAAGCGAGTAATGGAGCGAGTGATTATGGCAATAAATTCGGTAAATATATAATTTTACGTTTTTATTTAATGAATGATGCGAGTATCACGCACAGTATAAGAATTGTAATATTAATCTTTATGCAATAATATTGGAAAAATAATATTGATATGCAAAATGTTTGTTCATATTTTTTGTATAAATCTTAAATTAGGTTATCTTCCAGATATATGCTTAAATATTTGGTAATTACTCTGATCACTTTAGGCAGCAAGTAAGCCTTTTAAATTTATAGGTGAACCCATAATTTCTGGCTTTAGTCGCTCATTTGGTCAAACACTTGAGTTCACGGATGGAATTTGTCGATATGAATATATTAAGCCGATCATGTTTTCGGGTGGAATCGGTTGCATCGACGAAATTAATGTTTACAAAAAAAATTGTGAAGCTGGGCAATTAGTGGTAAAAATTGGTGGTCCTGCATATCGGATAGGTTTAGGTGGTGGAGCAGCAAGTTCAATTAATATTCAAGGTAAATTAATTAATTACCTTAATTGAAAACTCATTCATGAGAATTATTCACCATAATTTCATTATTTCATTTCATTATTCACCATAATTTTTTTATTAAATTATCAAAAAATTGATAAAATAAAATTTCAATGTACTTTACATCGTAAATAGGTGTTCCTAACCGTTACTCTGAATTGGATTTTGGTGCCGTGCAGCGTGGTGATCCTGAAATGGAACAAAAATTACATAGATTCATTAGATCTTGCATAGAATGTGGTCGTAGTAATCCTATTCTATCCATTCACGATCAAGGAGCTGGTGGAAATGATATGTTTTGCGTTTATATATTTATTCATTTATTCCAGTCAGGATCCGTACTAATCGTAAAATTGTTTTTCTTGAATTAAATAAAAAAATTCTGAAAAAAATATACCTTTAAAATTATAAGATTTTAGGAAATGTCTTAAAGGAAATTGTTAATGACTTGAATGGTGGCGCTATTATAGAAGCATCAAAATTTGAACTGGGTGATCCCAGCCTTTCAATCCGTGAACTATGGTCAGCTGAATATCAGGAAAGCGATGCTATTTTGATAGATCCTAAAAAAATTAAAATTGTTGATGAAATCGCTAAGCGAGAAAATTGCAATTACTCGATTGTAGGAAAAATTACTGGAGATCGAATCGTAAGTTTTATCTAGTTTTATCTAAATGGTGTTGAATACTTATGCTGGTACATGTATTGTTATTAGATGCCATCTATATAATTTTAATCAAAATTGAAACACAATTTTCGACAAATTTATAGAATTGTGCATGGAACTCAAAATAGCTTCTTTACATTTGCTTCACTCAATTTTGTGATTAAGGTTACTCTCTATGACTACAGTTCTGATCATAAATCTCCTCAAGAAGATAAGATGCGAGCACCATTCAGCATTAGTTTAGATCACATAGCAATCAGAAATCCAAAAGTATGCTTATTTTCTATATATAAAGTCATTTAAACTATTCAAATTTTAAAGCAAGCGTAGATAAAGAGTGAAAATGGATTTTGAGAAGCTAGCTGATATTTTTATAAATATACAAATGTCTGTAAATTATAAAGCTAGATCGTTTTTATTTCAAGAAAAAGCGGATTAGAAAACTTCTTAGGATATGAATGAATGAGCAAATTCTGTTGCGGCAATGCGAAAAGAGAAACTGGATTAGAATGGAGAATGTATCGTTTTTAGGTGTATCATTTACATGATGGAGCGACTCTTACTCACTCTGTGCTACTTCCTAGTTTCTCTATTCATAATGCTCTTGATTTAGTTCTCCGATTACCAGCGGTTGCGTCAAAACGCTTTCTAACCAATAAAGTTAGTGTTTTTTAAAATTTTTATTAAGTTAAAATCGCCCTTTTTTCACCTCTCCATTTTCATCTTAGATTTTGAATTTTCGAAAAATTACTTTATACCAATATAAAAAATTAGCCTAGAACGGCTTCAGATTTCAAAACGAAGAGCTTTTAATAAATGCAAAACAGTTCAGAAGTTATTGACTTCTATCACTAGAGTACTCGTGAATCGACAGAAAAACGACACTTTTTTTGCTTTAGGTTGATCGGTCAGTGTCAGGTTTAATTGCTCAACAGCAATGTGTTGGCCCTTTGCAAACACCTTTAGCTGATGTTGCAGTTGTTGCGCTATCTTATTGGGACACAGTTAATTGATTCAATGTTTCACTAAATTTTTTATAGCTTAAATTAAAATGCTCATTGTAACTATATGCAAACTCGATTTTCTATAAATTCAGAGTACCACGCTTTCTTAAAAATATTTTAAGATGGAAATTTTATGAAAACTTGCTCTAGAATAAACTATTTTCGATTTTATGCTAATTAAAATTTTTCATGACATAAAGTCATGAAAAATTAATGAAGTCAATGATTGCTAAATTAATGCAGTAATCAGGCAATTATATCTTTTTTCCCGGACAGGTTGGTGCTGCTATTGCTATCGGAGAACAACCGGTTAAAGGGATTTTGTCTCCTGAATATGGAGCTTCAATGTCGTTAGCTGAAGCTTTGACTAACATCGTTTTTGCACCTATTACCGAGATTGAGGCATGAATTTAGGCGATATTTCTAATTAAATACTACGTCTTTCAAAAATGTTGTCATTTTTTTATTGTTTTTTCTTTTCTTTCTTCTTTTGCTCTACTTTTCTTGATATTAAAGGATATAAAATGTTCCGTCAATTGGATGTGGCCTGGTAAATTTGGTAAAGAAGGTTTGCGACTTGTGAAAGCTTGTGATACTCTCTGCGAAGCTATGAAAACTCTCGGTATTGCCATTGATGGTGGAAAGGATTCAATGTCAATGACTGTTCAGGTAAACTCTTTCCCTTCATGAGATAACCACTAAAATAAAACCATTAAGGTTCAGCTCCTTCTTTAGATTGTTACCTTCCCATGTTTCGAAGAAAAAAGAATCTTCTAAAAGGATCGCGAATTGCATAACGGTTCTCATTGCAATTTATACCTAGTTATAATACTGAGCGTGACAGAAATCCTCACTATTCAGGATAACGACTCTAATTTAGCTGAAGTGGAATTGTCACAGCAAGGATAATCTTTTTATCTCGTTCATTAAAAGAAAAAAGTTTGAATGAGCAAGAAGAAACCTTGTTTTTCAAGAGCAAAAATTATAAATTTATGTTCTTTTTTGCACAGATGCAAAATGGTTCGATAGCTAAGTCACCAGAGACAATAGTAATAAGTGCATATGCACCATGCACGGATATTACGCACGTGGTAACACCCGACTTGAAAGGAAATATAGGTAGGTTTTAATTTTAATTTTTTGACCAATTTAAAGTATTTTTGTTTTATTTTATTTTTGTTTTTGAATATTTATACACTATTTGTGTATTTTATATTTCTTTATACACTTTTTCATATTTTATCTCATATTTTTCATATCTTACAATATTAATATTTTTAATTGGAATATTAATGCATAAAGTTTTTATCTCTTTCTTTCGTTGAATGTATGGTTTTACTGGAATCGATTTTTAAGACAAATTTAATTTGTCAGTCTTTAAATGGCTTATAAATTGCTTTTTTTCGAAAAAAAATCTTGAATTTATGAAGAAACTCGTACCGAACTGCTTCATGTCGAATTCGGTGGATATGATAACCATACTCTAGCAGGAACAGCTTTGGCTCAATGCTTAGGTCAAATTGGTAACAAATCGGGCAAAATTGATTGGGAAAATTTTAAAGCAGCATTCATTGCTATACAAAATTTAATCAAAGGTGAAATTTATAAGTGATCTATAAACTCATCATTTTTCTATTTTAAATATAAAATAATATCTATGGTTTTGGCCAGGGATATACAGGGTATATTATATATACTAGGATTTTTGCTTAGTCAGCCGCGAAATATAACGAAAAAGCATAAATAATGTAACAACTTATTATCTTTGAATTTAAATAATAGTAAGGTAAGAAATATAATTGAAACTTAATAGTTTTCCTACAATCTAAGAAAATTTATGAATTTTTCACTCATAATAAACAATTACAATTAACAATTAAAATTTTGCTGAAAAAATATATACGGATTTCATACGGATTTTAGAAGAACAAGTATTATCAGGACACGATATCAGTGACGGTGGATTAATAACCTGCGCGATTGAAATGGCTTTTGCTGGCAATCGTTCAATTATCTTGGAGCTCGACATGAGTATTATTACTTTATTTTAAATTATATATCCCTTATAACTGTAATCTTTACACTCAGTGAAGTATTCAGATCTGAAACGGCGATGAATCGTGGTTTAATAGGTAGAGATAATCAAGCAGCCTTATTTACTGTGCAGAGAAAACTTTTCGCATGAGAACTATTTATCTCTTTATTTTCCTAATTCAAAAATTCAAAATGGTTATTTATTCCAGAGGAATGGACTAATAAAATGGAGATGCTCTTTGCTGAAAATCCTGGAGTTATTTTAGAAGTAAATAGCGACACATATAAGACATTTCTAAATTTATTTCAGTCGAATGGCGTTCTCGCCAAACATATCGGTTATACTGGCCAAGAAAAAGGAAAGGCAGCAACGGTTCGCCAAAACTAAAATATAAAACTATTTTGTTTGTAAAGTACCGAGCGTAATGAAATATGAAATTTACGGGTGACTCATAATTTTGATCGCGTGCGAATAACATTATTTTTTGTTTTGCTTTGATCAAAGCCTTCTTTTTCTTCATTTCCTAATAGTACTGATCACTTTGACTGCTTTCTCTGACTTTACAGGGAGTCCGCTACCAGGAGATGGAAGCATAGGTGATGTCCCAACATCACCCGGATTCCATTTTAATGTCAGATTTACTCAAGGAATCTATGATAGCCAGGCTTTAAAGATAGTGCACCATAGAATTCTTCAAACTCAATTTTTTAAAAATCTCAAACTATGTCTATATTAATTTATATATAGCATTAATTAAATCTAATATTTGCTGTTAACGTAGGACTAAAAAGAACTTTGCATCTAAATTTTAAAAAAACTTTCAGGTAATTATTCGAATAAATGATGAGCAGGTATTGAATGAGCCTTTGGGAAACCTTCGACAAATTTGGGAAGAAACAAGTTATCAACTTGAATTGTTACAAACTGATAGCGAGTGCGCTGAGCAACAGAAATATTACCTTGAAGAAGCGGAAGAAATAATCTTTCAAGCTAATTTTGATTTTTCTATTCCCATGTCCAACTTTCTTAAATCATCAATTCGTGGTATGTTGCAATCATAAGCTCAATTAAAATATTATCATATACAACTAAAATAAAATAATTCAAATTAAAATTAAAATATCAAAGTTGTCGCATTTTGAAAATTCTGGCTTAATGGAATTTGAACAGGATAAATTGTTATGCAGAAAGTTATAAAGTGGCGATCATTCGAGCTGAAGGAAGTAATGGCGATCGAGAAATGGCTGCTGCATTCTATATGGCTGGATTTATACCCTTTGATGTGACAACTGCTGATTTAACCGAACATGGCTTCAGTCTGAAGCCATTCATAGGAATTGCTTTCGTTGGTGGATTTTCGTATGGTGATGTACTTGGATCAGCGAAAGGTATGTCGACCATTCAAAATATTTTTTTTGCATAAAAAATTTTGTACCAATCAAAGTTAGTTTTTTAAAGGATGGACGAGTGTAATCAAATTTAATGAGAAAATTTTATACGAATTTAACGGCTTTCGAAATCGAAATGATACTTTTTCCATAGGAGTTTGTAATGGATGTCAGCTGATGGTGTCACTTGGATGGGTAGGATCTATGGATAGAGGTAATATCAATTAGTTTGTTTTAAAACCAGAAACATCAATTTTTAAACTCTTTAGATAATGACGGAAATATTTTTTTGGAGCAAAATGACTGTGGTCGCTTTCAGTGTTCATTTAATTCAGTACTTATATTGAAATCACCTTCAATATTTTTAAAAGGAATGGAAAATTCTATTCTGGGAATATGGACGGCTCATGGAGAAGGTATCGAATTATCTAATAGATGATGAAAATGATGAATAAAAAAACTGGTTTTGCAACATAGTATCACATTTTCCAACCAGCATCTTTCTTCATCAATACCTTACGGTAAAGAAAATAATGATTAATATGTTGATAGAATAAATTGAATAACTACTACTGTCAATTAAATAATTAAATAAATATAGCGAATGAAAACTGAAAGAATTATAGTTCAGAAAGCTCAAAAATTAACCTAAACAATACTTTCTAATGTATACTTTCGATATCGCATCTGATCAGATGATATCTCAATCTCCGGATAACTAATTAACACTCCAACCAGATTAGCTATATCTTAATCAGTCGCCGTTGTAAGGATTTCAGACTAGAGTATTCCTATCGAGACGCTGAAACTAGTAGCCTTCATGGATCAGACCAAATTATAATTCGAGGCAAGATTCGCATAAACTGACAACCGCATGAAACAATGGCCTATAAGATCTTTAACTATCTCCCTAGCCTATCTCCCTAGTGAAATGAACATCAATAACATCTCTGGTAGGATGGATGAATGTTGATTTCAACTAAAGGCATATCTTCGAAAGTCAGCCTATATTTATCCATTTCTATGCTTGAATATGCTAGTAGAAAATGTGGGTATCAGAAAGCAACTCTCCAAATGTCTACAAATGCTGCCATCCTATCTATCGGATGCTTCGAAGAATTTATAACGACATCAGCTCAGCAGGACAGAAATCGTTATTGAAGCGATATAGTCTTGAAAATGCAGATGGCGGCTCAATTAAGGATACGAAATTTTTCCGCTTTTTTCTTAAAGCAACTCGGAGAACGGCCAATAAAATGATGCGGGATAATAATGGTGTTAGGATTATTAAAGATCGCCTCATAAAATAGAATTCTTTGAGACCAAATCTAATCACGATATGTCATATGTTGTCCCGGACATAGTTGATTCGCTCGCCAAACCATATGTTTGTGAACTGCCAGCAGAAGTAGGAAATAAGCTTTGTCATCCAGAAGCTTAAGACCAATAAAACTGGCAGAGATGGTCTTCTTCGAGCTAAACTCTTCAAATATTGTCCTTCGTCCTTCATGGCACATCTTCAGCAAATGTTTTTTGGGTGAAAGAAAGAAATAATACCAGATGATTGTAACAAAGCAATTCTACTTCCAATTACAAAAAAAGATGAAAACATACCATGGTAGTTATCGAGGAATCTGTCTACTAAACATCTCCGAGAAAACTTTCATTTCTTCTCCTACTAAATAGAATTATGGCAGCAAAATACGCTCCAATCAATCTGGATTCAAATCTGGACTCAATTATGCAGATATTATCTATGCAGATATTAAGAAGAATGCTGGAACATCGCTTCAAATATCAATCCACCTTTGATTGCACTGTTAATGCAAGTGGTATTTGAGCGAAGGTGGATTCAGTTATATTTATCCGTTCGGACCATTTCGATATTCTGTGCGCTATGGGGCGTTACGGAATGATCTGTACATCTTTTGCCGACAAGTGATGCCTATTTTTCAGTCTTTTTTTTATTCTCCATATTATATAGTCGAGTAAACGAATTTTTTGAACAGTCGCGATTGTTCTAGTTTCAGCATCGCATACGTTCTCAGTTTTCATTTCGGAATGAAAGGAAAATAAAGGGAAGATTCTCAGTTTTCATTTTAAGTGCTAAAATTAACCGCGTGGAAGTTAGAATACTTTTTTAATAGAACATTTATCGGAATAAATCCAGCATTATTCAAAATTCAAATGATGAAAGCAAGAGCCACTAAGGCGGCAAAAGCAAATCTGAAGCGGATTCGCGATGCCAGCTCAATTTCGACAAACGAAATCAATTAACAATTCAACTTATGGAGACCCGTTAACAGAAGTCTACTAGAGAATGGACCTTAAAGGAACGGACCTGTTTTTTGTGTTTACCTTTCGATGACATCTCTAGAAAATGTGATATGACTTGAGAATGCTTTTCACGCCTATAACTAAAACAAGAATCGTATTACTAAAATAGCGCACTTAGAAAAAAAACCACTGCACTTAGCGGAATGATTTGGAAGTGAAAGTGGATATTTTAACTATTTGAATTTTGTGTTCTCATAAGCCACCATAGAGATAATTCGCGCTTCCGAGTTTTTTCCTCCTTTACCTTCTCATAATCGATGCACTATTCCTTCTCTAGCCTTTCCTCATTGTTTTATGATCTCATAATAAACTTATTAAGATTATTCACTAATTTTTTATTAGAATTGAATTTCAAGGCAAGTTTGGTTTCCGCGATAAGAGAACATTGGATAAACTTGAATCTGAAAAGCTGGTGCCGCTGAAGTACTGCAACGCTCTAGGACAACCAGCGAAAATATTTCCAGAAAATCCTAATGGAAGTCCAAGGTTAAATTCTATAATTTTATGATTAAAAATATTCCTTCATTTCATGCCGAAATTAATGCTATGAACATTTTAGATCCATAGCTGCAATTTGTTCAATGGATGGCAGACACCTGGCAGTAATGCCACATCCTGAACGTAGCTTTCTTTCGTGGCAATGGCCATATTATTGTAGCCAGTGGAAAAGCGATTGCCTTACTGCACCTTGGATGAGACTCTTTATAAATGCATACCACTGGGCACATGACCGTTCGAAACTTTAGCTCTGCCTGTTGCATTTAGCAAACTGATGCCAGTTATTGCCAGTTACGAATTTCTATTAATTAAAGACAAATTTAAAATTTTAAGCAACATATTCCTAATATTTTATCGCAATGAGATCCAGAAATAACTGTCTTAAACAATAATCAAGCAATTTTTTGGGAAAATTTAGTCATTGCTTGAATTTACTCTTTAATACTCAAGTTGAAAAGCAAATATGCCCCGAAAATTAACTTATGACAGGAAAAAACTGAACTTGAAAATTTGCAAGAAAACAAAAAAAATAGAATTATGAGCCAATATATAACCTATAAATATTTATATTAAATGTTAAAATACTAATAATAAACAATATGTGATAATATGTTCTACAATTCTGCAAACAAAAAATAAGAAATTTGATTCAGAAAAACAAAGAGGAACATGTACCGAAGAAAGCAGGAAAGCAATGAATGATAGGAAATGGACAATAACTTAAAAAAATAAAAAAGCAAAAAAATTTCGTAGAAACTTTTTATCACCGAATGGAAATATAAAATTTCTTTTTATATAAATCAGTCCTCCGTACCTGCAAAAAATTAAGTAGATAAAAATGAATGAAACATAGAGAAGTCATCAGTTCATGGAAAATAGAAACATCGATAACATATTTGAAGAGCCTCAAACTATTAAATGAATCCAAATAAAATATGAGATACTTTTGAGGCACTGAATACTTCTGAACTGATTCAGCTGGAACATAGCAACTGGCTCAATTTCGGCTGGAACAACTGTTACTCTTTTGCAATGCAAAGGTCGACTCGAAGTTTCCAATAAAAAATAGCAATAGTCATCTACTTCATAAATGCCATCTTCAACTGATCCTAACACCAATGAACCAACAGAATCCTCAATACGAAAAGGATTCACCGATGCTATTCGTGCAAATACGCATGACAATCCAACATGACGTTCTTTTACTGAATTGCAATCATCGCGATATAATATCATCTGAATATTCTAAAATAAAAAAATTCAAAGCTCAACAATTCAAAATAAAGCTGATAAAAAAATAAAGATTAAAGAAGAAAATAAATTTTGGAATAAACCGTAAGAAATTTGCGAAAATACAAAAAATTTATATACGGTATATTTATAAAAAAATCCATTTCATATAGCAAACTAAAATGAAAAAATTTGAAATATGAATATGAAAAATATTCGCTTTCATAAAATTCACAAGTGATTCAACAAATCTGACAAGTAAAAAAAGTGCCGTAGATAAAATTTCGCCACAGATTGCAATCCAACTATAAAATATTGCATTAATTTTCCGTACATTTAAAAACAAATTAAAAATAAAATGAACTTAACCGATAAAATCAGGCATAAAATAATATTATTAATAATATAATAATATTACGAAGTTAATTTAAAATAAAATATAAAAATATATATGGGCACTACATCATTAATTTCTAAAATATAAAACCAACATTTTCAAAAACATCATCTTAATTCAGTAATTCTGTGAAAGCAGTGATATTAGGACATTTTTCTTGAGCAAAATTATTCAGGTTAGATTTTAGCGCTCTAAGAAGCATTTGTTCCGCACATATCGCAGTCTGAGTAAAAGACTCTGAAAAAGTTTTGTTGTGTACTTTAGCAGACCAATTTTTGGCACGCCATTCACCATTAATAAATACAGATTCGAAATAAACCTGAAAACATTAAAAATAGAAAGTTTTCAACTATCTTTGACCTTTTTATTTTTTACTTTCATTCGTATTTTTGTTTTTTTTTCATTTATGTTATTGCAGTTCATTTATTGATTATTGATTATTTTATTAATCTTGTATTATTCATTACATATAAGCATATAGCTTTTGTTGTGCTTGGTTCTTTTTTTCAAATAAATGAGCCTAAGGAACATAAAAAATTGTAAGTTAAATATTACTATTTCACCAATCACGAGAATTTCATCCAGACCTTCCGCTGTATTGTTGCCATTATTGCCACCACTCCAAGTTAATATTGGACAAATTATTGTCGTTTGATTATAACTCAACACTTTCGCCTTGTCTTTTGAGATGAACACAACTGATCCAAATCCTTAATTGAAAAATCCTTCCAAAATGAATAAAATTTGAAATATAAATGGAAAATATTCAGAATTTTTCAAAAAATTTTTCAAAAACATATATCATCATAATTCAGTAATTCTGTGAAAGCAGCGATACTAGGAAATTTTTCTTGAGCAAGAATAGTCAGGCTAAATTTTAGTACAAAGAATCGCAGCAATTTATTCTAAATTACTGATCAAAATTTTTTAGTTGGCTTCTAACTTTTGATCAAAAAATAGAATTTATGAAAAGCAATAATGAACCTTTAAAAAATTCATTGACTTCTAGTGAGCCCAATAGGCCATTTTTAGTTTCTGGCCATTCCATAGAAGGGTCTGCAATAATAGTTTGTGGCGGATTGTTTGCGTCGGAAATCTTCGTAGCTGATTCAGCAATCCAATTACAACCTGATCTTGGAACTTGTGGGCGAACAACGACGATAACCCGATCACCAAAAGTAAGATAACTATCCAATTTAGTAACTTCGCATTGGTGAAATGCAGAACCAGGAACGAATACTCCTCCAAGTTCATCGTTCGTAGCATATGCAAATGTTTCCGTGACAAGAGTAATAGTAACAATCTGAAGAATTTCCAGACGTTTTCATTAAGAAAAAAAATATTTCGCGAATTATATTCAAAAAACACTATTTGATTTTTTTGATTTTAAAGGAGAAGGAACGATGAACAATAATAACATTTTTAACTGAAAAGAAAATACTTGGACACTTTTTGTTTATAAGAAATGTCATCGGTGGCACTTGATAATTTCAACTTTATGAATCGAATCTTATACAAAAAAATCGCTTTTGCCTTCTTTTTATATCCGCAAGATCTTATAAAATGTATCTTCAAAAGAATTATTTTTTCAAAAATTTTCTTTAGAAGGCGGTAAAACAGAAAAGCAGGATTTCGAAACATCGACAGAATTAATCAGTGGTGTGAACCAGCAATACGGAGACTGACTGAAAAGGTTTTGCGTGAAAATTTTCCAACCATCTCCTAGCACTGATAAATTTTAAGAATATTTAATTCCCTTAACTCCCTTAAGACTTAACTCCCTTCCTGACTCACTGTAAGAAGCTTGGTATTCTGTTGTTCTGGTATTCTGTAAAATATATTATAACATATCGCACTGATTTTAAATCACCCATGAATTCGATCCTTAAAAAACTTAATAAGATTTTGTCTTCTGCTATATCAGTAAACATCTCCTATTCTTTTCGAAATTTGCTGTTGCAGTAAAACAGAAAAACAGGATTTTGATTTTCATTCCAATATTTTAATGAGGAACCGTGGAGGCCTAACAAACAAAATTAGATAACGCAATAACTTGTTGTCTATTTGAAATATCCATCGGCGCTTGGTAACGATCATTGTTATTAGAAATTTGCACCTATAAAATTTATTTGTAAATTTAAGTATAAATCAAAATAATTGAAGATTTGAACTCTAAAACCACTTCCTAAATCTTAGAGAAAATGAAACGAAGTGCCACAATCGATATTTTTGAAAAATAAAAACTATTCCTTGATCGCCACATATCGACAATGATTCTTTCCGCGCTGAGGCACTGCTGTAAAGTGCACAATGTCACCCGCTTTCAGATAAAGCGACACATCAGCATTCACACAATCAACTGGAAGTACTGCTGATGGAGGAACGAAAACACATCCATACTTTTCATTGTTTATATAAGCATATTTAACATCCGATCGAGTTATCTGACCTGTCGACGATATTTCTTTCCATTCAACCATTTATAAATAAACAATATAAAACCTGAAATCCCTAAGTAACCTTGTTATTTAAAATATTCAGAAAATTTGCCAACCTTTTTCAACGGAACTAGCTAGTAATTAAATTATAATGAAATGACGAAATCCTAGAATTAAACTCAAATTAGACTCAATATATGAGCAATAAAATATCATAACTGAATGAAACACTATGCTGAAAACTTTTTCATATGATCAAAAATTTCAAACTAATTGCTTTATTGTACAATATAATGTACAATATATCATTATGTTAAATAAAGATTATTAATGCAAAATTCAAGTGATTTTCGATAAAAACGACTTTAATAAATTTAGATAAGATAAATTCTAAACTTTATAGCCAAAAATACTGCAACACCACATGGATTTTCAGGAATTAAAATGTGAAAGGTACTGAAAATATGGAAATAGAATAAATATAAAAATTTTATTTACAATTTAATTTTTCACTTCTTTAAAAAGATAAATTTTCAACCCTAGCATAGTTAAATCATTAAAAATACATGTCTTTTATTTATTAAAGAAAAAAAATTGAAAATTAAATTGAAAACCATAAAATGGGAAATGGGAAATAAGAGAGTTACAAAAATCTACATAAGTTATCCGCGAGTAATATCCAATAATCGATGAAGGTCTAAAAGAACTAGAAAAATCCGTTATCAAAACGAATGAAAATAAGAATTAAAAGAAAAAAAATAAGAATACAAAGAATTAAAGCCAAAAAAACACATCCTTGATCTTTTAAAATTTTTTTATTAAATTAAATGCATTATTGCAAACTAACAATAAACATTTTATGGAGAAATGTAAACTATTACGAGATCTAAGTTAATATGTGTATATATAAAATACGAAAAATTAGTCGTTAATGAGTTAAGCAGCAGCACACTTCTTTTCCAGGAAAAAATTCCAAATAAACTATAAAGAATCGTGTACTGCTTTTTTTACACCTTCAATTATGTTCTGAAAGGCACGTATAGCATTACTTTCAGCAGGACAAGAAGACTTTAGTCGAATCATAGCCATAGTCGAAATACCATAGTAATGTACTAACGCAGCAAGCACAACACATACATGAAATAACTGATGGCTTTGAAACTGAAAGTAAATGAAATTAAATGCAGAGAAGCCTAATTTCGCCTATTGCTTTTCTAGAAAATTTAAGAAAATACAAATCAAAACATTTAAAAATATGAAAAATTCATGAAATAACGATTGATTAAAGAAGATGGAAAATTTGTTACCCAAATATCACATTTGCCCGGGAAAAACCGTTCCGGAGTACGTGTGGCATATAGCACAGCGCCACAAATATAAAGAGCACCCATGAGAAGAATCCAATGAAATGCTGCTTCCGAAAAAAGAGGAGCTAAACCATCAGTTATCATGAAATGCACGGAAGGCACCACCCCTAAAAAATTTTGAGATCCGAAATCTCAAAATCCCTCAATTTCGTTAGTTAAAAGCATGGAAATTAGATAGATAATTTAGAGAAAATTTAAAAATAACTAACCACTACAACCAATGGCAACAAAAACAGCTGCTCGAACATGACGATAACTTGATTCACTGAATTTGTCCCACAGCGATACTATTGCAGCACCAACACCTAGCACGCTAACCATAGTTATGTAAGTGATTTTTGGTTCACGTCGACAATAAAATCCATAGTAGACCCAAGGAATAAATGAACCGACAATTAACAGTGATATTCCCAAATAATCCAATCTTAAATTTTTTTGTACAAGTTAAAGTAACAATTTACACTCAACTTTTCTGAAATTTCAAAAGAATTAAAAAATTACTTGCAAAAAATACGAACAACGGCTAATGAATGACAGCTTACTGTATGAAACGTAAATGACATGCCAAGACAAACGATTGCACCAAAGAAAAAACATGAAAATACAACTTTATCTTGAAAACGTATATGGGAATCTGGCTGAATCATAAACCAAAGGCCTAACAAGGCAAATGCTATGCAGCCTGCAAAAAAAAAAAAATGAACTGAACTAATTTAGTTCAATAAATTCAAAACAAAACAGTAAGAAAAACAGTAAGTTTTAAAAGTTTTATAAGTATTATTTAATTGTTATTTTATTTTCTCTTTCAATTTTGACCATATTTTAGATTAAAAAACATTTCAATTAAAATATCTTAAAAATTTCATCTAAAACTCTTAGCGAAACCCATTATAATCATTTAAATTATTTCTTAGGACGAGACCATAGAATCTTAAAAATCAAATGTAAGAAAAAATATAAGTAAATATAAAGTAATAATATATGTATATGTAATATATGTATATATTTTTAAAATAAAACTAATCAACCAGATGGTTATTACCTATAAGATGAGTCCATATATTACCCGTCTCAGTATGTAGTGACCAAATACTTCGAAAACATTCTGCAAAATTTGGTAAAGGAGGACGATGTCCGTGACGAAGAAACTCGTTATCCTGTAGCCATTCAGGAAGGTATTCATATTTTTGTACACACCACTTCACTTCCCAAGTCTAAAATATATTATATACATCACTATTTTCAAATTTCATTAAAATGTATATTTCTTTCAAACCATAGTGAATTTTTAAGGACAAAACTCCAGCAGAACTTCTGATATTCCCAATGTTATAAAAATTTAATACAAAATATTCGGAAAAAAAAACTAATTTTCTTAATGAGATGCAGCCCCTGTTCTTCACAATGCTCCTCCTTTAGATCCACCTGAAAATAAAAGAATGAATTAGAAATTTATAGAAGTGGAAATAATAAAGATAAAGTAAAATGAATTTAAAAAGAATAGGAAAAGAAAAGAAATGAAAAAGAGAGAAAATAGATAAACAGTGAAATCGCCTAAATTCTTATTCCACAAAAATAGTAAAAATATTTTCATAGAAGACCTCAAGACGACCATCATCATCACCAGAAATACCATCATCATATCGCCAAGTATCACCACGTTTATGACGATACCGAACATTAGTATGTCTGGGAATAGCAGCAGTATCATCCGAACTTGCTAAATTATTAAAACTAAATTCTCAAAATCAACAAACCACCAAAAATATCTTTTTATTAAAATCTTTTGAAATTTAAACAATAATTACATTTAACTTTTACATTTTCGCTAATCAATTATCCAATCAATTATCTGTGAAAAACAATCATTTAAAAATATTTGCTTTTATTATTTATGCTGAATATAAAAATATAATATCATTCGACGATACTCCTATATTTTCGATTATTGGAAATTTATTTTATGATAAATTTCATCTTAATTCGATTAATTCGATTTTTTGGCTTTAAAATGAAAATAATAAAGTATTACTGAAATGATTATTCGAAATCACAAATGAAAAAAACGCGATGAAAAAATAATTCAAATAAACCATAATCTGATTCATCATCACTATTCGGTTGTGAAACAACTGTGCTCCTCTTCACAAGTATTTCAATTGGTTCACCAGCGCTTCCAGTTTTTAACACCTTAAATATATTATTTCTTAAAAGGCCACTTAGAGAAACCATAATGATAATTTTCTTACAACTCTAGATTGATACCATGAAAACTCCGAGTGAAAACCCATAAATATAAAATTAAGTGATAATAACGGCAAATGACAATGTGACTTGGCTAGTTAAATTGGATTAAATTTTTGGATTAAATTTTTTTATTAAATAATTTCCCAATGTTTGTGATTCATTATTTTTAATTAATTTCGTATTCCTTCAGAAAAGCGGAAAATTTTCGTGAAAATGAATTTTCGTGTTCTTTTGTATGAAAATGAAAATTTTTTTGGAATTTTTCAAAGGTGGATTCAGTTCTGCCTATTTTATTTGCAAGCAAAACCAAATGATAACCAGGAAAAAACAAATTATTTGCATTTGAATAACAACGAAGTTCATAGCAATTCTACGGAATTATCTGACAAACCCAGGCAGCTCTTACTAATTCAACAAACTTCACCTGAACAGTTGTTGACTCTTCACGAAAATTTTCGGTTGAGACATCATTTGGCCTTGTTTCACTCAAAATTTGGCGTGCCTCGTCTAACGTTTCATCATAAATATATTCATTACGCGACATCACCTGAAAAATATAAATATTCATTGATATTAATTATGATATTTAAGAAAAAAATTAATAAAAACAACCATAAAAGAGGATTCTCACTCGCGTTATGCAAATAAGAAGCATATCGATAAAATTATTGATATTGATCAAAAACATAGAGAGAATGGCAAAAGGAAAAGAAGTAACAGCAGATAAAAGTAGACCAGAAAAAGTGACAGACTCGCCTGGTACTTTGATAAAGACTAACGGCAGCAACCCAGGTGGCAGTCGTGAAGTTCCACGCCCACGTGAAACGGAACGGCCTCAGCCTACTGAAGCCGAAGCAGCAAACTGCTAACCATACTTACTTAGCTTTGCTCTACTCGTAAATGAATTAAGTGCCATGTTTCGGTTAGAAAAAAGGTATCTCAACAAATTGTCGGCTACTTGGCACTCTGACTTCTCTGCATTCTCTCATCATCGTTATACTATCTTTTCACTGATAAATTCACTTGGCATCGTTCCAAATAACTAAAAAACTGCCAAAATTTTGATAATTATTGAAATTGTGAATTGCAACTTGACTAAAAAATTTCAGCTTCAGCAATTTGATTTCCCTTTCATTTCTGATTTTCTAATTTCGAATATTTTATAAATTTCGTAAATATTTTTAAAACACCCATATTAACCAACAATAACAGTAAAAGCGACCAAAACAGACAAATATTTAAACGGTTTCAGCGAGATTTCCGAGTATTCCGAAAGTTGCTAGGAAAGAGGACGGAAAGCATGGTTGTGGCCCATGGAGATGCGGCCCGCGCACTCATATTAATGCTTCCTTTTTATATGATCCTATTTCCAAAAATAGTTTAATGTCCTACATTATTCTCGTAGAACCATTTCCTAATGACATTTCCTTCTGGGTAGACTCGAAAGAAAAGGTGGCCGCAACCTCACTGAGTTGGAATCCTTCCGTACAAACTTCCTTGAATCCCATCAAACATTGCGCGAAACCCTCTTGCTTTCTTTCCCCGCCGGTAAACTCCGTTGTACTGCGAATAATTCGATTCCCTTCTCTGATAGGAATGAGTCTGTCATTAAAAAATCTGGATGGCTGCCAGTCCGCCCATACTTCTATCGATAAGTGAGTTCCTAGCAAAAATTTTTGACCATGCTGATGGCTTGCTGGACTAGGGCAGGCAGAAGTGGTTGTGCCTATTCACTTACATAACACTGATGAAGTACAATGAGAATTTGAAGCTAAAGAATTTGGCATGAAAGCGTTCAGTGTAATAAAGTTATTGGAAAGCTGTCCGAAGGAATTATATAACATTATCAAGAAATGTATGGGGTTTTCTTTTCGTTCATAGGGCGTCTTTTCATCGATAAATCCATAATGTTAAAAATGAGAAAAATGAGCAAAACGCTTCCTCATTTTTTAAACTGTCCAGGAAATCCAAGGGGTAATGATTAACAGTTGACTGAGACTTCAAAAAATCAGCACAGGAAAAAATTAAACAACAAAACTTTGTATAAAAAATACTACAATAAATAAAGACAAATAATCGGACAAACGCAAATTGTAAAAAATAACTGTTCGTTTGTAATATTATAAGCAGTGTTTTGTATAAACTCGTCTTGCTATATGTAATCGTGAGAATTTTTAAGGCATATCTATTTATTCAAAAACACGGTGATGGATAGCGAACGCAAGATATCAGCTGTTTGATAAGTCAGAATTAAAATTTTCGATGCTCGGATGCTCTGAAAGAGGAAAACGGTGAGAGCCTTGGTGCAATTCACTCCATTTCAGCTTAGGAAATTTCGGAATCTGACAAATCTCCCTCACATCTTCGATAAATTTCCGCCGTATCTGATATATTACTGTATAGATGCTCATTATATGCTCTTTCCTTATTTTTCTCCTACTTTCTTCTCTTTTCTCTTTCACCATTCATTCAACTCTGAGTTCAATGTCTTAGTTATTTTCTTTACCAGATTATTCCATTTTATTCCATTTATTCTTTATATCTGGTCGTTACAATCTCTTTTATACGTTTTCTCACCTTATCGTCGTACAGTACAATCTTCTTGTACCCCTAGGCATTTTTTTCCAAGATTATTTGTTGCTACTGGTTCGTCATTAAGTTAGTCCAGTGTCGTATTACACGAAACTACTGAAATTTCAAACTATTTTCAAATTTTTCTGCTTGAATGCCTCTAAATATTGCTTATTATTCGCTTAAGCGGCAATATTTGAGCTTATTTCTCTCGCCTGCAGAATTCTTATGAATGCCTTCGAGTGAATAGTACTGAATAATTTTGTAAAAAAAAGTAAAATGGTCCAAGAATAAGGGAATCATGAAACGTAACTGAGAAAAATCTTTGCATTTTGCCAATTGGAAAAACAGAAATTTTTAAATTATTTTTCATTGTTTAAATCCAGATTATTTTTTTCTTTTGACTGGAACTTGTAGTAATCGATTTTTTCCAATTTTTATGCATCTTAATATTTTTTAAACATAGACATAAGAGTTTTCTTGGAATTCCGTTTGCTAAAATTTTTACCACTAAATATTTTCCATTAAAAATTTGAGATCATCCATGAAAGAATCACTTTAAACTTTTCATTTTTAAATAAATAAAAAAGTACAATTTACTCACCTCAACAAACTTTTCATTTGAATTCATTTTTAGTGAATAGCGATGAATAATCAAAATAAGTTAGAAAGAAATTTCACTGTAGTTTCCGCAAAAAAAATTTTATGAAGAAACGATCAGTGAAAACTTTCGTTTAAATATCGAATATCGAAACAGGTAAAATGGCATTTAATGATATCGAAGGCAAAATGAAGAAGGAAATCGATGAAACAGTTCGATCGTTTAACTTTGAATAATAAGGGAAACGAACCACAAATTAATTTATTATGCTAAGACTATTATTAGTTAGACCCTACTTCAGGCATTAATAAACCCGTCGTTTCGGAATGCTGACGATTTGTGCTTCGAAGTGAAACCACCAAAATAAATCTCTGGCAAAAAATTTCTCACTGTACTTATATCAGCAAGGCATCTAGAATAGATAAACTCCTATTTAAAAAACCGTTAAGCTGAATTTGATATCAAATTCTACATGAAGGGATGCATTTCACTGATAGTTTATAATTTGGTCCAACAGTGAACGAAGGGAAAATAGTATAGAACAATAAAATAACCACGGTTTGTAGTTGAATTCATTTAAACTAAAGGACCATATTCGTTATTAAAATAGGGATTTTTGTGATAATGAAACTGATAAGGTGTTGCTAAATGTATATGCAATACATTTCTATATTACAAAGGCATATTACAAAAAAAGCAAATTTGGAACCATTTATTTCTCTCTTTCATAAATATTTGTCGTTTTTTCCATTGGTCCGTTGGTGTATCATCCTGCAATAAATCATCAGTAATTATTATTATCAAATTCCGATTTAAAAAATTTTAGGAAATTTCTATTTTTTATAAAGAAAACTAACATATTTCATGTTTCAAAAACTAAAGTATAACATTAGAAATATTAAAAAAAATGGAAAAAAATTCCGACATTGTCATAATTTATTGGTATTTTTTTGTCAATGTAAGTAAATATAAGATAAAAAGCCAGAATGAAACCAATTTACAAATAGCATGTAAATTGTTGATAAACCAAGTAAAAAGGAAATCGAACCTGTAGGTGTATTTTTAGGCACTACTGAAGACCTTTGCGGTTCGTAGTTATAAGTGAATTGATTTTTTTGTCAAAATAACAAAAAACTTGTTTTGCATTTTTGTGTTAAATGAGAGAGAGAGTCTATTAATCCTGTTTGCAAAGCATTTAAATTTAGAAGCTTTGGGAAAACTTATCTCAATAAGTAAAAGTTAATCTAAACTCATAAAAATTATTTAGTAAAAGGACAAAAAATGGTTTGTGTAGAGATTCGACTGCATAATAAAAGTTTTATGGCATCGAATTTGCTTTATTTCTATAATCGAAGAATAGTTCGATTAAAAAATATCATAAATATCGAAATACGTATCAATGAAAAATTTATGAAATAAATTTGGAAAATCGAAATTTCTAAAAAAATTCATAAAATTGGAATCAAAAAATAGCTCTAATATTAATTGGTCGAGTTCAAATAATAATTTTTTTTCGATTTTTTTTTTAAAAATTTAAAATAAATTTATAGCAGAAAAAATTGTTACGATTCATTTTAAAGTGCACCTTCAAAACGATAATTTATACACACATCATTAAAGGGATAAAATTAAAATCTAAGGTAAAATACAAATGGTCATGATATGATGGTTAAGGAAAATCAGATTCTATCAGCAAATTATGCAAAAAATGGTGATAAATCGGCTTGGCCCTGAATATCCAAAAACTTCAATTCAGCCAAATTTTTTTTAAAAAGATTCCGCGACCAGAGTTATAGAAGATCAATGAACCAATTATATTCACCTTCCGTTTACGTTCTTTATCGACATTTTATAAAGCTTTCTATGAATTTACAGTTGGCTTATTAATTTATGGTGGATGAAAATGAATCAAATAAACGAGCAAAGAGAAGAGAATATAAACATAGTTTCATGAATACAATTTCATGACTTCTCATTTAAGAAATATTCATAAAAAAAAAAGAAAATTTTGAATCGAAATAAAATTCTGATTTAATAAATAAGATAAATCAGAGCTGTAGCTGCAATAAAGCGGTGAAATCAAAATTGGATGTATGATAGATGACAAAAAAATCAGAAACAAGTGGAGAAAATAGAATTTGAACTATTTGCTATAATTAATTAATTAATTGAGTTAATTGTTAGGTTTAAAAAAGGCACATTTGAGAGGTAGGAGAATACAAAAACGATAGTACAAAAGAACACGATAGACAAGAGAAAAAGGGAAGAGACAAGAACTATTTTTCGAATTTTGTTAAAAATTTGCTTACTTGTAACAAATTCAAATTTATTCAAATACCAATTTAGATTATTTAGCAAGAGAATAAACAATTTTAATTTTTCAACTAAAAATATTCTAACAAATTGATAGCTTCGCTGCAAATCTGCCCAAAATTCCAAATTTACCATTAGAAATAAAGAAAGATAAAAATTTTAGATGACTGAGATTTTTTCTGGAATTCTCATATTTTCTCTTCTGTTAAATAAATTTTATATGGCAGAATAGCGTTTATTTCTCGAAAACTTAACATCTGAGAGACACTGTTGCAACACGTTAAAGTGGATTAACTTTTACTTTCGAAATTAAAAATATAACTGCACAGATTCGCCTTCTATGTGTTTATTTTTTTTGAAATCCTAATATATTTAAAATGGCTAAGAAACAATAGAATTTATAAAAAAGCGGGTTGTTCTGGTCGTATGGCAGTGATTCGTCGAAGGTACTCAGCGTCGCGAAAGAAATCTGATTGGAATGAGTTATGCCGTATTGTTGACATTCCTGATGATGTTTCATCGATAAAACGCAATTTCATTAAAAGCTCATGCGGTTCAAATGGTCGATCACGTAGTTCGTTGTCTAGAAAATCACGTACATCGTCCCATGTCACCTGCAAATCACCTTGACCTCTAATACTCGGTAGAGATTCGTAAAGATGACATGCTAACTTTTTAATTTTTCAAATTTTTTGACTAATGTCTAATCTCATTGGAATCGATTTGATTATATTCAAATATATTCAAATTCAATGAATATTATGAATATTGAATATTCAATGAATATTATCGTAATTCAGGTTTCTTAATCACCTTTCCACCTTTTTTCCTTCTCATAGCTCCTAATAAAGCAACAATTTCTCTTAAATCTTCACTCATTCCCAAGAATCGCTTTGCTCGACCAAAATAGTGAATCCTTGTGAAATAAGCTTTCAAATGAGTCGACGCCAAGTCCACACACATAGTTACGACTGACAGTCCTGCAATTATTATTAATGCTCGAATCATGGTTACGTTTGCTGATTTTTGAAACGATAGGAAATAAATAAAATAAAACGAAATAAAATTCTTTACTGATTTATCGCTCATAAAATGTTCAAGATATTGTGTTCAAAGCTCTTGTAATATCCGAGTTAACCTCAAGTCTAATGAGAACCTAATAAATAAACAAAATGGTGCAATATAAACAGTTTTTCACTAATTTTCTGCGCCATAAATCTAGACTTCTCGACTTCTTAAAATCGCTTAATACAATGTATCAAAATCTCCAAGGAATAAAAACAAACCAACAATGACAAAAGCAACGATAAGAGATAAAAATAAGTAATCAATGACAACAATGTCGCCTAGGCCGACAGTAACAATGAGGTTAAATCCGAAATGAAAAGCGTGTATGAACGACCAGGATCGCTCCCAGTTGATGAACATAGCCGAACCCATTGAACAATATAAACATATACATGAAACATAAGCTCCTGAAAATAAATTTTGAGGACGAAATATACAAATGGAATTTAATTAGTCAGCCGCTAACTCGATAAAATTTTCAATTTTATTGATGGAGCCTATAAAATTTATAAATATATTGTAAAAGATTATGCAAAATGACACCACATTTTATTCCATTATATAATTTATCTGCAAATATTTATTACCTATAGGGAACCATAATTTTTCATCAGTTCCATCGATGCCAAACATATCGAGGTTCTCGGAATTAACCGTTGATTGAGATGTTTTTCTTCTTGCATATCGCCTTCGACAACATATTTGCTGAAAAATCACAGTAATTTCGTAAGAAAAGCAGATTTTTTATTAGAATTTACGAGCGAATGAAACAATAATTAATTGATTTTCGCAATAAATAAAAATCAGCCAGAAATGGTGAGTTCTGTTGGAAGAAAAAAAATTTGGTTATCCATACAGACACATCTTTGCATTTGCTCCAGTAAAAGCCAGTTAGAGAAGAATTTTTTCAACGAGTTCCATATTTTGCAATAAATAATAGATAATAATAAATAATGTAAAAAAGTTGAGTTACTTTTATTTTGTGCACCATTCGATTCCAACTAGAAACAAATCGTAATAACGTTTCTGATAAAAATTTTCCGATATCAGCAGCAGTTATAAACATTAATGGGATGCCAATGAGCGCAAAGCCAACAGCAAATATTTTACCAAGATCGGTGTCTACAGAAACTTCGCCGTATCCTGAATAGTTTATTAAAATTAGAGAATCTTATGAAACGGTTATTTGATATCGTATTTTTAATGAATTTTCTATTTTGGATACGAAGAAACAAAATACCGATACTGTTGCCGATTTTTGACGAAAAAAAGTGGAATATTCAATTATATAGAAAGTTGTAAATGAAAGGTTGCGGTGACTTCAGCATCACTGAACAAAGACTGTCAATAAAATTTTTCGATTTCTGATAAAAAATCTATCACTTACTACCACTTACTAACCCTAACCTAAGAAGTGTATTTGAATATATTTATTTATTTAAAAATTTTCTAACCACACGTTGTAAGAACTGTAAGTACATAAAGAAGTGCTGTTGGAAAAGTCCATTTGTTATGCATATTACTGAGGTCGTCTGCCCTCTGGAGTTCTTTTCTTATTGGTCGTCTATCGTCAACGGCTTCAGATATTGTTAACATATATTCTCTACAATTTTATCTCTTTCTTTTCATACACGCACTAATCAGTGAGTGTCGCAAACTGAGTAGTTGGAAAAGTTTCTTCAGATGATTTATGAACAAAGATAAATTTTTAGAGCCATTGGAACATCTGCGAGTGAAAAATCAACCTGTGACAGTTTGCTAATGAATAAATATAAAATTTGGCAAATTACTTGAATATTTGAGACCATTCGTTATATTTGGTAATTCTTGCTCCTGTTTGAGCATCATTTAAAATTCGCCAGCTATCCGCCGTGAAATTCGTCATAATATTCGTTAAACGAACAAGCTTTCTTGATCGAGCCATAAGTTCGGTTTTTGTTTCGAGCATCATTAAGATCCATGCACCAAGACAAAGATATCCAATCAGAACCATTACTAACATTACATGTGGTATCATAATTTTGATGAACTGAAATCAAGTGTTGCCTTTTCCACCTATCGAATTTCTTTTGTGGTGTATTCAGAAACCAAAGTTTTGAAAGTTTTAGAGATGAAAAAGAATGAACTAGAAAAAAATTTATTGCGAATATTGAAAGGTTCACTTTTATTATTTGCTGAGTACATGTTTTTTTCGGTTGAGCTTCTTGGTCCTCCTTCATTGAATCTTGTATCTTTACAGCACCATCGTCCGCATCCAAAAGTGCTGATTGTGATGATATTGGCAATCCGTCCCATCTTGCGCCTACGTGATCTAAAATGTCTTTGTTGTTCATTTTATGTCTTCTTCAACTCCATTTAAAATTGAATTGAGAACTTTCTTGTTTTGCTGTTATCGTATTGCTTATTCCTCCAGAATCTTTTTTTTCAAATGCAGCTATTTTGAACAGCAAAAAAACTACCTATTATACAGGGGTAATCATACTATTGCGGCAACAAAAAATAAGCCACCTTTTTTTTGTTATTTTTTATCACCATTTGTTTGGAAAATTGAAAAATCGACCATTCTAATTTTTCCATCGTTTTTGTTTTCATATAATTTCAATTAAATACTGTCTTTTTAAAAATGATAAGAATTTGGCAACATAAAGTGAAAACGAGATCACATTAGAGGACCGCTACTGATAATTGTTTTAAATAAAAGTGATATATTCGGGTTGAACGATGCTGAAGTAATGCCAACACTCGTTACAATGGCCCAATCAACTAATCTACTCGGGACTGAATACTTTATGGTAATGACCACTTTTTAAACTTCTTTTTCTTCTTTTTATATCGAAGCGAATTGACTAAGCGAAAATGCTTTTAGCAACTAAATTCGTTTCTTTTCTTTTCTGTAATCTATTATTACAAATATTATTTAGTTGATTGACCAGTATTTGTTTATCTATCTGAGAGAATTTTCACAGGACCCTGGTCTTATCATCATCCACGATTTTCTGAGGAATCTTCCATCTCCCATCTTGGGAGGGTTTAAGTCAAAAAATCTTTTTCATTTGTCTAGTTCTTATATTTTGTGGCTATATTTGCAGCAATATTTGATTTCTGAGAAATTTCTGAGAAATTCTTGAAATTTTCATTTATTCGGAGTTCTTAAATAATATCGATAATTGCTCACGAAATTCACATAGTCTGCGAAGCATAAGGTCACTAAGAGAGTAAAAAAGTTAAAAGCGATTTTGAGGCATATTGAAATGGGCCTGAAAGAGAGTCCTTGGACTACGCCATGAGTTCCAGTTCTCTAAATGAGCAACTAGCATTTACTACCCTCTTATATCTCTTATTAGCGCAATAATCTAACGGTTGATGCGCATTTTTCTGCTCTTTTATCGATATTTATTATATTAATAGAAAGATCAGAATCCAACAGAAGTTGAAAAAATTTGATTAGAATATTGATCGAGGAAAATATATGGCAAAATTCAATTCAAATTTTACTACGATGGTCCAATACGAAGACAACATTTTGAGGCAATTAACAATTTATTAAATTTCTTTCTCAATCATTGTGGGTGGTAAGAGGGATTCTCAATCTATTATTAACCTGGGTGATTGAGGTTCCTATGCAGTATATCTCAGCTTCTCTAGCAATGCGCTCTTCTGGATAAAGATCTCTGATTTTGCTAGTGCAATCTGTTGAAGCCACTTTTCTATTTCTAAGGATCACAGTTTGCTACAATTATCATTGGTACCAACCAATATAACCTTCGCTTTCCATACCTCTACTTCCTCTTTCAGCCTCTGGTATTTCTCTAGCTTCCCATAATCCTCCTTTCTAATGTTCTTATCACCTGGCTTGGTATTACTTTATCAGTATAGATTTCTGGTTTTTATGCCACGATATTTAGTTGATTGACCAGTATTTGTTTATCTATCTGAGAGAATTTTCACAGGACCCTGGCCTTATTATCATCCATGGTTTTCTAAGAAATCTCCCATCTAGTCTTGGGAAGGTTTAAGCCATACACCGAATCAAATTTCTATAGATGATACCAGCTACCTGTCCAAGCTTGATTTTATGCCTCTTACTGTCCTAAATGCATTTTGGGAATACATCCTGCCACCATGTGTTGGACTGGAGCATTTTTGTACAGTCTACATCTAAATTCCTGCTTATGTGGTAGATTCCTGCTTCAGTGAATCTGATGTTTGGTCCTTGCTCTTTTGCTGCTATAAGCAATGTCTCAGTGCTATCATTTAGTCCAGCTTTTTCCAACTAACTTTCCGACTTCTCAGTTTCAACTACCTCAGCTATTAACTGTCTGTCGATGGTTAATCCCAAAGAGAGTAATGCTTTGCTAACTTTGCTATACTTTCTCTGTTTGGTCATTCTCCAGTCTTTGCAGATGCTTCAGCCATTCTCTCAGCAACTTGTGGCACCATACTGTTGGTCCTGAAAGTTTCGAGTGTCCGAGAGTTCGAGTTTCGTTCAATACAATAGCTTTGGCACTCACTAAGCTGCACCCGTCTTCTTTCCGAGTGGTGTGCAATCCTTGAGTGCTATTTGGGGTGGGAAATTTCTGTGCATTCTGTGAGCAATTTCCTGATCTTCATATCACAGCCTCCATGTCTTCTTTTGTCCATTTTAGTGTGCTGGCTGCCTGCCTGATGACCGACAGGAGATGCAAACTTATCGCATGGACTTTTTTCTTGCCATTGAGCTAGTTTTTCAAGATTTATTTTTTAGTG